AGTCCTCTGCATTCCCCCACAGCACCCGCAGGCCGGCTGCAGGTGCTGTGCGGGAGGGCCATCCTGCCTTGTGGCATGTTCAAGCGGCGGCAGCGGGAGCCAGGCGGGGACTGCGCCCTCCATCTTGCCTTGGGTCCTCCATTTTGGGACAGAGCCGTGTGCGCCCTCCATCTTGCCTTGGGTCCTCCATTTTGGGACAGTGCCATGTGCTTCTTCACCGGAAAAAGCCGTTGCTAGACCCACCCAGGATTTCTCTGGACTAACCAATAATAATCAAGGGAAGTGCATGCCATCACTATGACCACATCCTGTACCGACTCGCGCCTGGCCAATCAGCGGGGCCCACAGTCCCCTCTCCTGCCCTCACTCCACCCCCCTATATAACCCCCTGTCCCATCAGGCCTCGGTCTCTCGGCCACTGGACTTTCCGCTGTGTCGGTGGGTCTGGTGAACTGGGAGCGCAAGCCGGCTTGCATTAAAAGGACTCTTTGCTTTTGCATCGGACTGATTGGCTCCCTGGGGGTCTTGGGAACTTTGAAATCTGGGCACAACAGTGCTGAGGCCAGGATCCTAGCCTCAAGTAGCTCTGTTTCCGAAGATGGCATGGTCGCTGTGCCTGTGCTGGCCGCCCAGGATTGTCTGCGCAGGGAGCAGGGCTCCGCCGCCTAACACTGCCCGCTTTAGCAGCCCCTTAGAAGACTTGCAGAATCTAACTGTCCCTAGCTCATACACACATACACCACACACGTCCACACACTCCTCTATCACTTCCTTGCGCTCTCACACTCTCTCCCTCCCGACCTTCCTGCCAGTCACCATTTTTTTCCTCTCATCTATCTTAATATATCAAATTGGAATTCTGAAAAGGTCCCACCCAACCAGTGATTGTGATGGTTAAAAACATTTAGTCACTGGCTGTGCATGAAAGCATTAGATAATACTATTATGAAGAGATGTTTATTGAGTTGCTCAATATAATATACAATATACAATATTCAAAATAAAATGTGATATAAATTTCACTATTGCCATTTCCACAATGATCCTTGTTTTCATTAAAGTTTGTTGATAAGATTATAGAGAAATTTGTATACATGATTAGTACTAAGTAAGTAGATGATACTAAGTGAGAATAGATAGAGACAGTATGATAAGAACCCAATCAGCTTGGTCTATTTATTTAGTCACCTCTCTTATAATAACACAATATGTAATACTCTATATAAACACTGAGAAGATAAGTGAATGTACAGACTCCCCAGTCGTTCATCAAGTGCAGTAAGTTAAGCCCATCTTCATTTCTGTTTTGTTTATTCACAAAGTACACTGAGATCTCTGGTGTCAGGGGATATGACTTCCTTGAAGAACAAAGTGTAAGTCCTTAGGGAAAGTCAGGCTCCACTTACAGTCCCATCTCTCAACTCAGCCTTTAAAATAATGGGATTTTTTGGTTGAATAATTCCTTGAAAATCTAGTTCCACAGGAATCTGCAAATGTTAAACAGCATAGAAGAACCAGTTAATGAAGCACTATCAACACCAAAAGCAAAGCAGATGAGATACATTGAGGACAATAATGCTTTACAATATATAGAAATTACTTTTAGCATAATATATCTTTTTTTCTTTATTCAGTAAGCTGTCTGAGACTGGTCAGTGAATCAATATATTCATTCAAGAAAATATCAATTACACCATCTAAATAGGAAGGTTTTACATTAACAGGAAGATCTGGATTCTCCCCTCTGATTTTACATAAGCAATAGCTGTCATTGAGTGATAGCAAGCAAGGCCCAATAATAAGGCTTATTTCTAGGACTTGTATATTTAGTATGCAGCTCCTTT